AAGGAACATGAAGAATATTATTAAGGAAAAAAGTATAAGAGGGATGATAAGGAGAGGAAAAGGAAGAGAAACCAATAGACTTAATATCTAAACCTTGACCATTGCCCATAAAAAGCTTGTCAGTTGTAATAGCAGGTTCACTGTGTTGCAAGTTTAGTGGATCAGCAGTGACATGGTGAGTTGCTCCTGAATCTGGAAACCAGGTGTAAGACTGTGGATGAGGTCCAAGGATAGAAGAACTTGCAGATGCCATGGCTGCAGTAGGTCCAGAGTGTTGAGGTTGTTGATTCCAGATGATTGGAGAAGCATAAGAGTTGGATGGAGTATTAGCAGAAGCATGAGACATCTGGTTCCAGGCTGCATTTGGTGTTTGAGATGAAGAATAACCCCGGTTGTGGTGGTTCTCTGGAAGATGTTGTTGTGGAATATTGGGAGGAAGTTTTGGTTGACCTGGAAATATGGAAGACTGTGAAGAATAAGGATGAGTTGGCTAAGAGTATGATGGATCTGAGCTGCCAGAGATTGCAGTTGTATATGTGGGGTTGTAACGATGATAGCACACCAAAGCAACGTGTCCAGTTTTACCACAAACTTGACAAACAACAGGATTTCTACCTCCGTAGCGACCTCCACGTCCTCTGAAAGGGCCTCCACGACCTCTACCTCTGGAAGGAGCATTATTATTGTAATTTGGAAGCTGAGCAACATAAGCAGATGAGTTTTCTGTAATATTTTGAGAGGTGGAATCATTATTTGGATTTGAGATTTCTAGGCGAGCAATATTAGCAGAAAGTAAATTCTGTTGTGATGATTCACGCTGTTTTCGAATTCGAAGCTCTTTAGCTAGTAACAATGCTTCAAGTTTAGAGAGAGAGACTGGATCAAGAATACTTCGTGAAGAGACAAAAGATACGAGAGCTTCGTAATCTTCTGGAAGTCCCTCAAGGATGACATTGATATAGTCCTTATTAGAAATAGGCTCACCGACGGCTGTAAGATCGTCAGCAATGCTTTGAATGCGTAGGAGATAGTCGCTAATAGATCGGTCACCTTTGCAAGTATTGTAGAGTTCGGACTTTAGTTGGCGAGCTCGAGCAACAATGTTTGCCTTGAAAAACTTCTGAATTTCATTCCAGATTTGAAACGAATGACGACAGTGAATAACACGAGCGTGGAGTGACTCAGTAAGAGATGCGAGAAGCCAGGAACACAACATCTGATCTTGTTGCTCCCAGATAACATAGTCTTCGTTTACCACTTTGGTCTCGCCATCATCACCGGTGATAAATTGTTCAGGAATTTTAGGTTTTTCAACGAATTTCAGGAGTTTGTGAGCTCGCATCGCAGAGTCAACATGATGCTTCCAAAATAGAAAATTGTTGGAGTTAAGTTTGATCGGAAGAGGATGATTGAAGATCACTGGATGCGTAGAGCTTCCAGCGGTTGAAGATGAAGTAGTCGAGGAGGTCACCATGATTGGATAGAGCTAAAGCTCTGATACCATGATAGAATTTAGAGAGAGAAAGATAGAGGTAGAATTATCTCCTTAATTAAAATGATGTGTACAGAGAGTTTATATAGAAAAGATATACAACAGACTCAACAAAACTAACTGACTATTCTTTAACCGACTTATGCTAATAATGATTCGTATAGTATATCTAACAATGTCTAGAAAAAGAGAATGGGAGACCCGGTCAAAAAAGCGCAAGTGTTTTGCACAATAAGATGAGACTTGGGGATCTTTCGAAAGATACGGCGTTTCCGTGCCATCATGAAATTGAACTTTTTGAAAACTAATCTTTTTGAAATTGAACTTGAAGGCTTTTGCAAAATTAGCATTAATCCTTCGCGTACTTCAACTATACGTCAAAGCACCAATGTGCAGCGACGGTTAAACTTAGTTGTACATCATGTCAACTCTTTGCATAGGTTTAAGTGATAGTTCCTAGTAAGTGTCTTGCTGAGTTCCTTGACCTTAAGAATAACCCTGAAATTCCCGAGTACATTGAGTCCCTGTCAGGTTCCAAAACTCTCAAAGATGGGATCTTTCACCATTCACCACCACCTACACAAGTCCTGATCAGTAGCTAGTTTATTAATGTTTGCCGCCATTACTTTAAGGATGTGTTTTATTTTGTCATTAATTTTAGCCAAGGTACAAATAGGTAGTTTGGGGAAGAATTTTCTATGTTTAGTCTGTTTCAAGGTACAAATAGCTCAAGTCATACTTACCGGGTGTTGGTTCGAGTTTTGTATTGTTTGGAGTCAAAATCAAGGAATTTAAGCTCACCACTGGCGATTGAGAAGCAATCGGGATCATTTCGAGATGCATTTGAGAATGAATCGAGAGCTTTAGAGGTCACTGGGAGGTTTACAATTAAGTTATGATGACAAAAGAGCTCTAGGACTGGCTACGGGATCAAAAGAAGACGAATAGAACTGGAAAACGGCGATCAGGATGACCTTCTGTTAATCGTTCAAGCATATCTTTTTGTAGAAACATCCAAAGGACACGATTCAAGTTCCATATGAAAGCCAATTTCAAGGGTTACAAATCATATGAAGACACCATTGCGAGAATCTGAGAGGAGGAAGGTGGAAACAGACGAAGAAGTCAGATGATCGCTGTTGCGATTTCAGAATGCGACCTTCCACCATTTTATTCATATATTTTGATTGGATGATTCAAATCCAGTTTTACAAGTTGTGCTGGATAGAGGACTTCATTATCTACAACTTTCATGAGGGAAGCATCGTCAAATTCAGAAGGGAAGGCACGGTCGTGCCTGGTAGAGTAGAAGAAAGGAAGACCTAGCTACTGGAGGTCAGGCACGTCGTGCCTGTCAGGGAGGCACGATGACGCACGACATTGCTCCGCAGGCACGGAGGGAGGCACGGTCATGCCTAGGACCGTGCCTGCACCGGATTTTCCCAATTTTGCCCGAATTCAGCTTTTCAACCTTGTTCATCAATGTTTTGGGATTTTTTGTAAGTTCCATCTTTTTAATTAATAACAATTAATTCTTTTTATTCTAATTCTATTGATTCTTCAATTATGAATTGTGAGTAGTTTTAATTACGGTTTGGGATTGATGAAGGGGTTGATCAAAATGTATGGCAAGTTTCTTGATGGATTAATTACATGGATCTTTATTTAATTCGTGTTTGAATAATTAAATTGATATCTCTTGTAACTAGAACAGATGCTAGGATTATAATTGCACATAGAATAAATTAAGAGATATCTAATTTATTCTAGGACACCTTCACACACACTTAATCGTTCGCTATGAGATTAGTAGCGATTAAGGAGCCGTACGCTCGCTTGTTTTGGCAAGAAATTTAGATACTTGTCGCATGAGAGATCAGCCTGGTTCCCTAAATTATTGTACTCTACGCCGCGAGAGCGGTTAGAACTAAGTATTGATTAGCGTTGCTCAATTAATAAATTTTCATGTGATTGAGCTTGATCTGCCAGAAATCTTATTACCCCGGAATCAATCCATGTTCCCTTCGTCATTAATTAGAGAGACCCATTATTTTTAGCCGCTCAATCGCATTAGTTTTTTCTTCATTCAATCAATCTCACACGATGCTTTTATTTTATTTAGTTTAATCGTTGAATTTAATTAATTCTTGATTCCCTCTTTCCGTCCCTGTGGAGACGATACTCGTACTTACACCCTATACTACTATCTATTTTAAGTGCGAGAAAACTCACATCAGGATCTGATGGTAGCTATATAAGGGACCTTGGTATTGATTAATAAGGAACCTTTGGAAGAATTAATCCCTGGGGGGATTGACTAGGTCAGACACCATATTAATTCCAATAAAGCATTATTGTTTTCATTTCTCTGAGGTGCGACCACCGATTCAAAGTCTTCCCTATATTCCATCACGCTTCGTGTTTGTTTGATACCCAACAGGGGTCCGAACGGGTTCTGCACCAATTCCGACTGAAACCGACGGAACAAAGCTTCCTTAAACTCTTCCCAGCTGAGCTCAGTAGCTTGTTCCTCCCACCACTGAAACCAGTTCAGTGCTAGGCCCTCCATTGCCACCATAACAACTGAAACTCTGTCCTCATCAGTAATATTGTTCAATTTAAAAAAACTTTAAGCTCAAATTATCCAACCATAGGCTTCATCCCCACTGAGTACCGGTAAGTCTACTTTTCTTCCGGTTTTCAATAATGCCATATTGTTAGTGTTATCGCGTCTGGAATACGAAAATATAGACCAGTCAAAATTACCTCTTAAGTCAGAGGAATTTGTACTCGCCTCGCAACGCTTATGATTGGCATCCGAGATCTCACTCGCAATCGTCGGATATTCTGTTGCGTCATCCGAGTGTGCAGCTCCTCCAGCTTCACATCTGTTCTCCGATCATAGTTCAACATCCAGATGCGCATCTCGTCGCCGATGTTGTGCAGGTCCTGCACGTTATTCTCCAGACTCCAGTCTGTGCTCCATCTGTCCTCTCGTCCAGGTCATCCACAATCTCCAGGAAGGTGCTCTGATACCAATGATAGAAACTCGACAGTATATGTATATTAACTAAGGAAATAGACAAAACCTCCAAATTCCTGAAGCGAATACAATGGCAGAATTGGTAGCCTAGCGAAGAAACAAAACCGGAGAATACAAGTGAGACACTTCGAGTAGTCTACTAGTCTCCCACTCCCAATTCCCAGCCCGATCCCAATTTTCTGCCTGGCTGCCTGCCTTATTCTATGTCCCAACTCCTATTTATTCTTTCTCATGAGCCAGCCCATTGCTAATTAGTTACAGGTCCCTATCATACTCTTATGTCTTACCTATCTATAAATTGTAAGTGTGATGTATGAGAGGTATAAGTGTGAGAATTACTCTGGTAGTAATATTTCCTATTGTTCTTTTACAGCTACACCACCTTAAAGCTTCAAATCTCATTGCACCACACCACACCTTCAGGTGATTTTTTGTGTGTTATGATCATATGTTGAAGATACATACCAGCTGAATGTTGATGAAATCTTCTGTATCATCAATATACTCCTTGAGCTGTAAGTGGAAGAAAATGAAAGATAATGCATCCAATACTAGATGGGAAAACATTAAGGGTATCTTTGGATTCCAGAAAATTCTAGGAAGGGGAAAGAAAGCGGAGAGATTATTTAGAGTATTTAATTTTGCACTTTTACCTCAAAAAAACGCAAAGAATTATTAGTTATGATTAATATTTCCAAACTTTTCACATATGCTGTAATTGTTTAGACTTAATATAATTGAAACATATAAACAAATGAGTTTGAACAACTAAAAAAATATATACTCATTGAGTTCGAACAAAATCTTTTTTTGAGTTTGAACAAAATCTTTTTTTGAGTTTGAACAAATTCTTTTATTACAGTCTCCCCTACAACTCCACCCCTATTTTCTTACATTAGCATTTTCCAACCTTCAAACTGACCCTAGGGTATTAGTTGATTCTGGAAAACGCGCGAAAGAGGGGAGCAATAAGGAAATCATTTTCTTGTGTTGGATTTTACATTAGAAGATGAGATGCGTTCTATGTAAAAACATCTTGTGTTGGATTTTACATTAGAAGATGAGATGCGTTCTATGTAAAAACAGATAGGGGAATGTGGATACGAGCACGGGTACATGACAAAAAAAATATAAGATGTGGAAACGCGGGGTATTTTTATAAATATTAAAAATTATAGGGGTGTATTTCTAAATATTAAAAATTATAGGATTTAAGTATTTACAAATGCTTAAGTAAATTCAAAGCGCAGTACCTGTTAGATATACATCATGTAATAGAGTAGAAGAATCTTCTTAAAACAGTATACTAGATAGGGGCCCGGTTGTTATGAAGTTAGTTAGACTTATAACCAATTGTATAAATACTTGTACTCAGTTCATTTGAAATTAATCTGAAACAGTATTATCTCTTATCTTCTTCCTCTCCTCTTCTTTGTCTAATATGGTATCAGAGCTCATGCTCTAGATTGATCCAACAATGGTGTCATCTACCTCAGATTCTGTAACATCCACAAATTCTTCTTCCATCGTTACTTTCGCACATCAACTTCCGATCAAGCTTGATGCTAATAATTTCATTTTTTGGAAGCATCATGTTGAATCAATCGTTCGTGCACACAAACTTCTTCGGTTCATCATCAAACCAGAAATTCCGAAGCAATTTGTCTCCAGTGCCGATGAAGAAGCTGGAGTCGTGAATGAATTGTATATTGCCTGGGAACAACAAGACCAAATGCTCTTCTCGTGGTTGCTCGCATCCTTGTCTGAATCGCTTCATGCACGAGTGATCCATTGCAGAAATTCATATGAGCTCTGGAATGAGATCAACACGTTCTTCAGAGCAAGTATTGTTGCGAAGGCCAGACAGTTGAAATCGGAGATGTATACTACTGCGAAAGGTGATCGTACTATTTCTGAGTACCTTCTTCTGATCCAAACCATCGCTGATAATCTCCTCTCTATTGGCGAACCGATAACCACTAAGGAACACATTAATGTGATTCTAGAAGGTTTACCGGAGGAATATGAATCCCTAGCATCATCTATTTCCTCTCGCAGCATTCTCGACCCTCCTACTTTGTCAGAAGTCGAATCTCTTTTGTCTGCCAAAGAGGTGCGATTGCAGAAACTTCGTGAATCGTCTCAGACGAATCTATTGTCTGCTAATGTAGCTCGTCTGGAGGTTACGTCCACAACTAATCAATCTGCCAGTGAAAATACTCCAGATAATGCTTCGATTCAACTTGCTCAGTTTAACAACAATGACAACCCTAACTCTTATCGAGGAAGAGGTCGTGGAGGTTTCAACCGAGGTAGAGGAGGAAGATTTGGAGGTCGCTATTCAGTCACATGTCAAGTTTGTGGAAAACCAGGCCACCATGCATTGATATGCTATCACCGCTACAATCCAGCTTATACTGCTTCAAATTCCACTCCCTCAAACCCCTATAGCCAACATTCTGCTTTTCCTAATCCTAATCCTCAACCACCATATCCTAATACCTTTCCACAGAGATCTAATTATCCTCAGCCACAGTTTCCTCAGCCACAATTCAACTGGGATCAGATATCATCTTACCATACTTCACCATCTCCTACACAACACCAATATCAACCCACTGCTACTCATCAACAACATCAACCTACTGTCAACACTTCTATTCTTTGGCCTCATCCACAAACTTGGTTTCGTGACTCAGGAGCCACTCACCATGTCACTGCAGATCCCCTTAACCTGCAGCATAGTGAGCCTATTACCACAACTGATAAGCTCTTTATGGGCAATGGTCAAGGTTTGGACATCAAGTCTATTGGTTTTACTTCCTTTCCTTCCCCTTATCAGTCCTCTATTTCTCTTTCTCTCAGAAATATTCTACATGTGCCTGCAATAACCAAAAATCTGATCAGTGTTAGTCAATTTGCTAAGGATAACAATGTCTATTTTGAATTTTATCCTTATGATTGCTTTGTGAAATCTCAGGGTTCTAAGCAAATCCTCTTACATGGAATTCTGGGAGAAGATGGTCTCTATAGATTCAAATCCTTTCCTGTTGTTGGTTCACATCAAAGTCCTACATCTACTAGCCAATCTTCTATGTTCTCTTCATACTGTTCCAAGTCTAATGTTTTGTTATCTACATGTAATAATGCCAAATCTTGTAGTCCTATTTCAACTTGGAATCTTTGGCACCTTAGGCTTGGTCATCCTCACTTTGAGGCTCTGAAACTTGTTCTTCAGCAATGTAATGTTTCAAATATCAATAAAAGTGAGATTGACTTTTGTTCTGCTTGTTACATGGGTAAGGCACATAAGTTACCTTCCTATACTTCCACCACTGAATATAACCACCCTTTTGAGTTAGTGTTTACAGACCTATGGGGACCAGCCCCCATTTCCTCCTTTGATGGATACTGCTACTACATAGCATTCATTGATGCATATACTAAATACACTTGGATCTATTTTCTCAAAAGAAAATCAGATGCTCTTACAGCCTTTAATAACTTTTCTCAATATGTTCTAAACCAGTTTTCTACCTCAATAAAGTCTATTCAATCTGACTGGGGTGGTGAATTTAGGTCCTTCACTAAACTCCTCACTGAAAAAGGCATTATACACAGAGTTATTTGTCCTCACACGCACCATCAAAATGGTGTTGTGGAGAGAAAACATCGTACCATTGTTGAAAAGGGCCTTTCTCTTCTGTCCCACTCCTCCTTGCCTCTTAAATTCTGGGATGCAGCTTTTGCTACCTTTGTTCATCTGATAAATAGAACACCATCCAAGTCAATCTCTAATTCCAGTCCATACTTCAAATTGCATAAATCTGTTCCTGATTATACCTTTCTCAAGGTTTTTGGTTGTGCCTGCTACCCTTTCACCAGACCCTATCATAAACACAAACTAGACTTTCACACTGAAGAGTGTGTTTTCATGGGCTATTCACCATGTCACAAAGGCTATAAATGCTTATCATCCTCAGGGAAAATTTACATCTCCAGAGATGTTATTTTTCAAGAAACCAAATTTCCTTATCCTACTTTGTTCAAACCTACTTCATCTGCCTCTTCTTCTAACCTCCATCTGGATCATCCTTCTGTACCTATCAGTGTTCAGACCTTCATCCACCCTCCCGGCACCCCTGAATCTGAATCCTCAAGTGCTGACTCTGTATCTTCTCAAAACCACCCTCCAAACACATCTCATGAACACCATCCATCTCTCTCTAATAATACTCAAAGTCAATCTTCCTCTCATGAATCACAATCCTCATCTCATGAACACCCTCCCAACACATCTCATGAATCACACTCCTCACCTAGCCCTCATTCTTCTTCATCTGATTCTTTTCACCAAACTACTCCACCTCCTTCAGTTCCTATCATCAATAATCATCCCATGAGGACAAGGGCAAAGTCAGGCATAGTAAAACCAAGACTTCATTCTACCTCACTGTTGACTCATATTGAGCCTAAATCAGTTAACAGGTTCTCTCTTCTCTTCTCCACAGTGGCTTGAAGCCATGAAGACTGAATATAATGCTTTGATTGCTAATAAAACCTGGACTCTTGTTTCTCTTCCTCCAGATAAGTATGCTATTGGATGCAAGTGGATATACAGAGTCAAAGAGAATCCTGATGGATCTCTAAACAAGTTCAAAGCCAGATTGGTGGCTAAAGGCTTTCATCAAAAGTTTGGTTTTGATTTTGGGGAAACATTTTCTCCAGTTGTGAAGCCTATCACTATCAGAATCTTGCTTACCATTGCTATTTCACACAATTGGTCCACCCAACAGTTAGATGTTAACAATGCTTTCTTGAATGGTGAGCTAGATGAGGAAGTGTACATGGTTCAGCCTCCAGGTTTTGAAGTTCAAGACACATCTCTGGTTTGTAAACTTCACAAATCACTATATGGCTTAAAGCAAGCTCCTAGAGCTTGGTTTCAAAAACTAACCTCAGTTCTTTATGCTGCTGGTTTTAAACAAAGCAAATCTGATCCTTCCCTACTCATCTATCTATCCTCTACAGTCCAAATTTACATTCTTATCTATGTTGATGATATTTTGGTCACGGGGAACAATTCAGCAGCCATAACTCAACTCATTCACAAACTTCATTCCTCATTTTCTCTAAAACACTTGGGAGAGCTTGATTTCTTTCTTGGAATAGAGGCACACAAACTCCTAGATGGCAGTCTTCACCTATCACAGGCTAAGTACATCAGAGATGTTCTAAATCAAGTTGGCATGCTTGAATCTAAGGGAGTTATGACACCTATGGTGAGCACTTGCAAACTGCAGAAACAAGGCAGCGATTACTACTTTAATCCTTCCCGGTATAGATCCATTGTTGGAATGTTACAGTATGCAACTTTGACTAGGCCAGATATCTGCTATGCTGTCAACAAAGTGTGACAATTCATGGCAGAACCACTGCAGGAGCACTAGAATGCGGTGAAACACATTCTCAGATATCTTTCTCGAAGTGTAAATCATGGAATTGTTATCAGACCTATTTCCTTGTCTTTTATACCTCTACCAATATCAGCCTACTGTGATGCTGACTGGTCCGGAATATGTATTTTCCGGACCAGTTAACTTGCAAAAATCATTTGACGACCTTCCCGATTGAGTTTTTGGCTGAATTATTTTGTGGATAAACTAGACTTGATGGAGAACATGTCATAAAAATTTCATCAAAAAAAGCCACCGGGAAGGCGGCCAAACGCCGCGGTCCGGACGGCGGTTCCGGTCAGGAACTCCTGACCGGATCATTACTCTATATATATATATATATATATATAAACTTCGTGTACATATATATGTGTGTGTATATATATTCTTTGAGTCCTCCAACTATTATGTCACTGACACTTTTGGTACTTGATTTTGATTTTTTCACTTTTAGTCCTTGACTATCGTGCTAGAGACACTTTTGGTACCCGTCTTTGAAAATATCTATATTTAGTCCTCCGACTTTCATAGAAGTGACACTTTTGGTCCTTCCACTATTATAATAATAACATTTTTAGTCCTCCATATATTGTGTCAAAATCATAGTGGAAGAACTAAAGTGTCAATTTGATAATACTTTGGGGACTAAATGTGAGAAACTTTGAAGTTGAGGACTAAAAGTGTCTCTAGCACAATAGTTGAGGGCTAAAATTGGTTACAGTATAGTACCCTAGTCAAGTATTCGTGCTACATAGGATACGTTTGATTTCTTAAAATTAAAAATGACTTAAAAAATTAAATTATTTCCTGAGTTTTTAATGGTTGCAACATTGTGATTTTTGCACTATTCACACACCTTACTTTGATCACGATTTTCTACTAATATCATCATCATTATATAATCAAATTATTATGTATAAAGTGTTATTACATTATAATTAATGTGAATTTACTAGATATTAACTTTTTATACTTCGTAATGTTTACCAATACGTAATTAAATTTAATTACTGTCAAAGTTGTGTGTTGGCAAACATGAAAGTCAAACTATTGCAACTATTAAAGAATAGAGGATGGTACAATATATATTTAGTTTGAACATTTTCCTTCCTTTCAAATTTTATTACGCATATTTTTCCCCTTTTTATATTCCCTAGCACTGCCCCTTATAACCAAACCTACCCTAAACGTATAAAAGAGAGTGAGAAGATACCGAAGTTAACTTGTTGAGGGTGCTATCAATGACAACAAAATAAGCTTCTAACAGCATCTCAAGCTCCTCTATACTTTGTGCCTCTACAACACTCTCTGAACTTCTCATGCTCTCGTGCCGGCTTCTGGCTATGCTCAAACTCTTCTCAAGCTTCCTGTTGCTATCTGGAGGAGAAGAAACCGGAGAAACCGGAGCGGAAACAGACATCACACCGTCAGTTGATCTATACCCAATCAAAGATTGATCACCGTAAACCAATGATGATTCCATCCGTTGTTTCTTCTCAGTAAGATACATTTCAGCCATGTCACCGTCATCATCCATAAGTTGCTCTATCTCATCCCTAACCTAGATAGACAGGAACAGGGCATGAAGAACAAGAAAACATTAGGGTAATGTTTAGATTGCAGAATATGGTAACATGTTTAGTTTTATATTTGAAAAATGAATATAAACTACAACATGACTTTTTAATTAAATATACTTAGATTTCTTAGAATTAGTCTTGATATGATAAATATAAATAAATAAAAATGAGTTTGAACAAAGTATATGAGTTCAATACTCTATTTCCTTTTCTTCAAGCTTTTTTTCCTTCCAATTTCCTCTTGTTTTCCTGCTTTTCATTTTCTAGTATTTTGTGAGTTACAAAGTGGATAAGATGCAAGTAGGTTGTATTGTTGTACACTTGTACGGCTTAATCATGAGTGCGAAAGTGATTATATCATTGATTTCAACACAAAATAACGTGATTCATTATTCGTAGATTTTAGGTTTAGTAGATAAAATAAAGTCACTTGGTTTTGTAAAAAGTTAACCAATGCACAAAAACTTGTTAAACACTAGTTAGGCAGCTTCCGGATAGAGATCATGTCGACCCACATATAAATCATAGTTGGTACTTAAATTAAGGCATACTTAACCTAGTTTCTGATTTTTTTTTCCTAACAGAACATGTTGAATAAAAACTAGAGTTTCAAATAATCTAACACAAATATGCATAACATATGTACATATTAATAACTTTGTTTTTTTAAACCCGGTGAGCAAACCACCAAAATCAGTGGGGCAAATGATGGGGAACATTTACCATTATTTTATAAAAATAAAGAAAAATACAAAGGGAGAGGAGGACTAGACCAAAGCCTCTCCAGAAGAGGCATACCTCTTCCAAATACAAAATTAAAATAAAATAAATGTAAAATTGGTCTAGACCAAACCCAATAAAGATAAAGAAAAAGCAAGAAGCTACCCGTAATTGTAAATGAATCTAAAATAAGGAAAGCCCAATGAGTCTGTAATAATAGCTTTACACACTAAATGCGGAACTGCATTAATGTTAAAATAAGAACATATAGGATCTACATATTAATAACTTTGTATCATTACATTATAATTTAAAATTCACAAGCAATAACCTGATGATACCTACTATTCCAAAACTGCAAAAATATTTCATGGTTTACTCGAGCATTTGATTTTTCATTCTAACAATATCTACGTAGTTAAATTCTTGCAGTAAAAATAGTCTGTGCAATGTAAACTAACAAAGGCAATTTATCGCCAAAACACGTTGATAATCTATCAACCATTGTTTTAATTAAACAGTTTTTCCTATGGTTTAGTGTCACCTAGAAGTCTACCCATGCCAGTTTTTTGAGTACTTTCATCATGAAATAATAAGTTGCTCTTTTCAAAACAGAGTGTTCCGGATTCAAAAGATTCAAAAGAGAGTGTTCCAGAATTTTTTAAAAAGACGGGATTTTTGGTCGACCCCCTTCCGCTGTCTATCAAACCAAACGGAGAATTTCTTATGTATCAAACCATAGTTCTTTCATTGGTTCATAAGAGTAAAGAAATTCTTAATCAAAAATACGTAAAACAACGAATAATTCGCGCTGAAGAGAACAATAATTGTTAAGTTTTGGTGCTTTTAAATGTCCAGTTCAATGCTACGGATTTAAATCAGTACTTCTGTACTTTATCTAATAAAATATGACAGAGCGCTATAGTAATACAAAATTTTCACAACCTCTAGCTACTTTATGAAACACAACTTGTTTGGGATAAAAAAAAACTTTTGAAACATTACTCTATTACGGGGACAAAACGGAGATAAAAATCAAAGATAGCTACCAATGATAATTTGATACCTTTTGAACACGACGCGTCAAGGCAACAAGTCTACTTTTCAAACGACGAACACGCTCCAGATTCAATGTGCTTATCTTTGATGTAAGTTCATCCAACAAAGGGTATGCTTCAATTTCTAGCTCTGCCGCCTGACCAATTTCGAAAAAAGAAAAACAAAAGAAGCATATGTATGAATTAATACCCTAACACTTCAAGACATTTAAGGATAAAAAGCAAGTGATGATTGTCAATAAATAGAAGCAAAAAAATAAATAACATGGTATATTTCAAATGTTTGTTTTTATCAATAATAATTTGAAAAGAACGCTTTGAGATATTATTATTTTTAATAAAAGTTATGGCATATAACTATGAGTTTTGCTAGGTGTACACAAAATGTGTACATCTTTTGTGTACACTAGTCTGTCCTTCGCAGACAAGTTGTCTGTCACAGACAACTTATAAGTGTACACAAATGGTGTACACATTTTGTGTACACCAAGCATTTTTCATATAACTATAAATGACTAAAAGTGCATAACAGCATATTCAAATTGAGTCGGTATGTGTCTGACAGAACACAATAATGGCTTAATTTTCCGGCTGAAATCAAAATCAGGCTGATAGAATCCTCCAAAATCCAGAACAGTTTACAGAAAGAAGATCAAGAAACAACTGAAAATGTTTATTGAAGAAGATCAATGGTAACAGTAACAAGGCCGAAGCCCCCAAAGAGAAGAGACAGATAATCTCTAATCTTCCCAGTCCCAGACCTAAAGTCCAAAAGCCTCCTTATGCCTTCCTTCCCCTTTCTATTTATAGTATAAGCCCTCTTATTATTCTCTATAATAATAGGCCCAAAATAACAGGCCCACTAAACAGTGTCTATTCTTATTCTTCTAGTATTCCTATTAGAATTATTATTATTATTATTATTAATCTAATAGGTAGATCCCTAACAATACTCCCTCCCTAAACATCCACCTTGCCCTCAAGGTGGGTGGTAAGAGATAGCCAAGATCTTTTGCTTCATCCTCTTCCTTGCGCTTCTACCTTCCCAATATCTAACTGATTTCTGAGAAAAGAGCTTCTCTACTTGATTATTCCAATTCATAGATGTTACTGCAGCATATAATATCTCTGATGAATTTTCAGTTTCTTCATTAGTCTTCAGGCCTTCAATAGCCACAATTATCTCCTTATCTTCCTGAGATGTACCACCTACACCATTAGCAGAACTTATGTACATGCCCTGAACCTCTTTGCCAGTGTGATGCAACGATAAAACCAAGCAACATTTAGTGTCTGAGGATTCAGAGTCAACTCCTTCAACACTATATTCAATGTCTGATATGATCTTCTTCCGTGGTCCTTCAGTTTCTTCCATCTGCTCCAAGCTAGACAACTCCATCTGATTTAAAGCAGTATTCCCTTTAATGATGCAATTCTTTTCTTGTTGTCTCCACTTTAAGATTTGCTCCTTAAAGTTAACCTCCATGTCTCCCAATCCAGTTAGCCAGTCCATTCCCAGCACTACATCAGTGCCTCCCAGCTCTAGCAGGTAGTAAGTCTGCTGAATATCTATGCCTTGAATCTTCATCTTTACCATATTACTTCTGCCCGCATTGGTAATGCATTTACCATTCCCAATTTGGACCTTATACCCCTGTATAGGTTGAAAAGGAATGTTGTATTCTTCCACTAATTTCTGTGATAAAAAATTGTGTGAAGCTCCAGTATCAATGAGGATATTCACCATCCTCTCTCCTCCAGGCCAGCTCATTTTGCCCTTAACCTTAAAAGTTTTTATAGAAGATATGCCCTCCTTACTCCAAATGGACAGCTGCATAGTTTTATGTTCCATGTGAGTAGCCTTATCCCCCTCAGAACTACCAGAGTCTTCCTCAGAATTTTCTTCACCTTCAGACTGTTCCACCAGAACCATTTTGAAGTTTTTCATCTTACATATATGTTCTCTTCCCCACTTATCACCACATTTGAAACAAAGCCCCTTTTTGCTCCTCTCCATTAACTCTTCTTGAGATAATCTTGGGCCACTTTTCTTATTCTGTTCTCCTTCCTCTCTGTTGATGTTGAAATCCTCAGTCCTCTTGGATACCATCTCAAGATTGCCTTTGTAATTTTTCCAATTCCTGTCATCTCCCCAATTCTGAATTTTGTTTTGTGATTTCTTCCTCCCTTCTTCCTTGTTCCTTACAATCAAGGCTTCCAGATTCTTGTTGTCAATTAAAGTAGCTGTATCCATTACTGCTGCCAAGGACTTTGCAGAATATAGCTTCAATTCAGCTCGGACATCTCTCCTTAATCCCTTCATAAAAATCCCTCTCAGGACTTCTTCAGTGAGGTGTCCTTGAAAAGCTATGGCTGTTTCAAATTGATCTCTGTACTCTTGTACTGTCCCCTTTTGTTTTAAACTTAATAAAGGTCCTAACGGATCCTGCACCAAATCAGGTTGAAAACGCTTCGCCAGAGCTTTTGTGAAAGTCTTCCAGTTTTGTCGATGAGCTTGTCCCTCCCACCATTGGAACCAACTCAGCGATTGGTCTTCCATAGCCACCACCGCCGCATCAATTTTGTCCTCCTCATCAGTATGGTCCAACCGGAAGTATCGGTTCATCCCTTTTAAAACAAAAGGGGACAGTACAAGAGTACAGAGATCAATTTGAAACAGCCATAGCTTTTCAAGGACACCTCACTGAAGAAGTCCTGAGAGGGATTTTTATGAAGGGATTAAGGAGAGATGTCCGAGCTGAATTGAAGCTATATTCTGCAAAGTCCTTGGCATCGAACACGTCCTTTCCGTTAAAAATAGGTAGATCGATCTTCTTTCCAACCGGATGTTGCTTCCTGTGAATCCAGTGTGGATCGCGATGGCTGTTTGATTCAGAGTGTTCGGAATGATGATCTGAATCATCTGAGTGACAGCTGTTCTTCCTGTGTTGATGACGAGTGCTGTGATGCGAGGTAGTTGTTCGATGCGAAGTACTGGATCTATGCGATCGATGCGATTGGCTCCTCGATCGTTCCGATCGATTCACCTGCAACCTCGCGATGTCAGTTTGCATCGCTGCCAATCTCTCCAGCAAAGTGTTTTGCATTTCCGGCAAATGTCGTTCAGTCCTCGCTTCCATCTCTCTCCGATTCCGTTCAACGTCGTTAATTCTTCCCTCCATTTTTGCGCGCGTGTATCTCATCCAGCGATCGAACACGCTCTGATACCAATGATAGAATCCTCCAAAATCCAGAACAGTTTACAGAAAGAAGATCAAGAAACAACTGAAAATGTGTATTGAAGAAGATCAATGGTAACAGTAACAAGGCCAAAGCCCCCAAAGAGAAGAGACGGATAATCTCTAATCTTCCCAGTCCCAGACCTAAAGTCCAAAAGCCTCCTTATGCCTTCCTTCCCCTTTCTATTTATAGTATAAGCCCTCTTATTATTCTCTATAATAATAGGCCCAAAATAACAGGCCCACTAAACAGTGTCTATTCTTCTAGTATTCCTATTAGAATTATTATTATTATTAATCTAATAGGTAGATCCCTAACACAGGCCATATTTGGTGTGTTGGGTATTTTATTAGCAAATCAAGCTGGTCAGCATATGCCTACCAAATGCCTTAATGTCGATTTACAGAATCAAAACATGCAACCTAAGAATCAAAACTCATTAGGGAACTTAAGGACTAATTGTAGATGGATAAGTTTTTTATGCTCTAGAAATTAATTTATCTAGTTGAAATAATTCAAATTTTAAACTTCAAAATATGTTTGACAACTAAATAAAAGACTGAACTGAAGCAAGGTACGAACTTTAATGTGGACATTTACAGTGGATAAGACCTGTTGGCACTTTTGGTCCCTCAATTAGGAAGAAATGGTAGATTAAGACTCACAATTACTGATGCAACCATCTTTAGTCCCTTAATTATCCGGGTGGGTTTAGTCCTTAATTAACCTTTGTCAATGTGAAGCTTTTTTACAATAATGTTCTTTTTAATTTTGAGAGTTTCAAAATTTAAATGTTGAGCGGTTAAGCCCATTGGTGTTTAATTACAAGCAGTATGTAGGTCCTTAACTTTTAATTTTTGTAATGTAGTCCCTTAGTTGTGAAATAAATTACAGATATATTCTTCACATTAGTTCCATTAATAATGCAACAAACTCCGTTACAATTTGTGAATATTTTGTCCCTTAATTGTGCATTATGTTGCAAATGTCATACCTTAATTTTGCAACAATTTGTAAATATAGCAACGGCCGTAAATCATGTAAGAACAGAGTTTGTTAAATTACTAACGAGACTATGGCTACAAAGTCCAATGTCATATTTATATTCATGTTAGCTGACCCCGAAGTCTTTTGGTTAGACATGTTGTTGTTGATGCTGTGGAGACTATAGCTAAAACTTGTTTCACATTTAAGGGATGACATTTACAAGAGTCAAAAGACAGGTACTACATTTCAATATGTGAAATAAATGAGGGACCAAAAGTGCAATCTTTCCATTAAAACTGGAGAGTTCCATTGTCTATTATAAATTGAAGTTTTTTTCTAATGAAGCCTAAAAGCACCACTTCAGTGACAGTTTAAGGACTAAAAGTGGCACGTATAAGTCACTGACAATTGAGGGACTAAATGTACTGTTTCCCCATAATGAGAGGACTGAAAGATCCCTAGATAAAATATTCAACCAAAGGGCATAAATAAACTTCATAAAGACTGGAATGTCATAAAACAGAATGAGACTCACAATATGTTAAATACCTGAGAATCAAGAAAAGTGCAAGCGGATTCAAGAGCAACTTCAAGAGCGCGGAACTCAAAAGGTAAATAATCAGGTGATGAGTTCCCAAATATACTCTCAAGATTCCTACTACTTCCTCTCCTTCGGCTCAACTGAGGACCTTCCGGTTGCCAAACCTCACCAACCCCACCAGACTGCAACCGCCTCTGCAACTCCACCACATACTGAAGAACATAACTGTCAAGAGAGTTCAAAAGTAGAACCTCATCTGCCGTAATAATACACCTAATCTGCTCAAGGTTAACAACAATGGCCCTCTCTCTTCCAAGAATCGTTGAAGGGTACACAAATAATGGGTCAAGTAGCCGAAGATCACGTGCCGGGAGATCACAGCGGCGCATCATTGTGAACTTGTCAACCTCAATGACTTGGGAGTTTCCAGAAACTTCTACACGGATCCAAGACCGAACTCCCTGGCCACGCTTTTTAAGGCCTGGGACGTCCAGACCTTGGAATGGTTGACGACCAGAAGCTGATGACCTATAAGATGCCTCTCTTGTGTTTGCAACTGATGGTGCATATTTTGTAGGAAGCAGCCGTTCTTTTAGATCAGCCATGGGAGTGCTTCTAAATCTGAAAAACAAGACAAGAATATTTGAGAAGGAATAGATAGCTAAAGGTAAATAAGTCAGCTACTGGAGATAACTCGCTAACTAGAGCAGTTATGGTATGTTACATGTTTGAGGTGCATATTGAACCCAATGTTTGAAATCGCGTATTGCGGAGTTGAAGCGGTTTTTACCCAAGACGTATTGTGTAAGCCTCATTGTGCATTGAGGGGTAAGGCTAAGGCGTAAATCTTAATGTGTAGGGCATTTGTGTATATAAAAAGTTAGAACTAATAAGAAATAAATATAAATAGGTAAAACTCCCGAAATAGGAGTAACAACGTTATGGAATTCCAAAATAGAAATAATCATTGTCAAGTTTTTTATTCCCTAAATAGAAATAATTACTGTCAAGCTTGGGATACATTGCCATGATTAAAGTTCAATATTGCCAAAACATACCGGATTGTATGGTAAATCGTGATTTTGTGAGAAGGATCCAAACAACGGAAGTTAAAGAGGCTCTGAGGAAGATGGGGCGGAAGAAAGCAGTGGGTCCAGATGGCATACCGATCGAGGCTCGGAGAAGTTTGGGAGAGAGAGGCGTCGAGTGGTTAACAAGTTTTTTCAACATGATTTGGAGAAACAACAAGATGCCGACAAGTAGGAGGAAGAGTACTTTTATCCCCTTATTCAAGAATAAAGGTGATGTACAAGAATGTGCCAACTATCGAGAGATTAAGCTTATGAGTCACACCATGAAACTTTGGGAGCGAGTGATTGAACAAAGACTTCGAAGAACTGTGAACATTTCAGAGAATCAATTCGGTTTTATGCCTGGTCGCTCAACAACTGAGGCAATTCACCTTGTTTGGCAGCTTATGGAGAAGTACAGAGACACTCACAAGAATCTGCATTTGGTGTTCATTGACTTAGAAAAGGCTTATGATAGGGTACCTCGAGAAGTTCTTTGGTGGACCTTAACTAGAAAAGGCATATCACGCAAGTATATCAGCATCACCATGGATATGTATGAGGATAGTACTACAAGTGTTCGTACTAATGTAGGGAGGACTGCGGAGTTCCCTATTACTATCGGAGTGCACCAAGGATCGGCTCTAAGCCCTTTCTTATTTGTCATAGTCATGGATGAACTTACGCAGTCAATTCAAGACAAAATACCGTGGTGCATGATGTTTGCCGACGATATTATATTGATTGATGAGACGCAAACAGGTCTTAAAGCAAAGTTGGAAATATGGCGACAAACATTGGAGAACAAGAGTTTCAGACTAAGTCGGAGCAAGACAAGCAAGACAGAGTACATGGAGTGCAAGTTTGGTGGAGGTAGAAGCAGTGATAATAGTGGAATTGCTCTAGATGGTAAGGAGATATGTTCCTTTACTTGGGCTTCATAATTCAGAAGGACGGTGAGCTAGATAGAGATGTATCCCATAGAATTAAAACAGGGTGGATGAAGTGGAAGAGTGCGTCAGGATTTCTATGTGATAGAGGTATGCCGACTAGACTGAAGGGTAAATTTTATAGGACAGCAATTAGGCCTGCATTGCTCTATGGCGTAGACTGTTGGGCGGTGAAACAATGTCACATTCAAAAGATGAGTGTGGCAGAGATGCGCATGTTGCGTTGGATGTGTGGGCATAGTAGGAAGGACCACGTGCGAAATGAGACAATCAGACAAAGGGTGGGAGTAGCACCTATTGAAGACAAGATGCGGGAGTCTCGCCTACGGTGGCTTGGTCATGTGCGTAGAAGACCAAGTGATGCACCTGTCAGACGTGTTGAGATGTGTGGAGAAGAGGCAGGGAAGAGAGAGAGAGGAAGACCCAACCAGACGTGGATAGGGGAGTCTGAAGTGATATGCTTCTTCTTGGGTTGGATGAGGGTATGACTTTGGAGAGAGCAAGGTGGAAGGCGGGTATTCATGTGGAGGAGTGATCTCGTATTATTTTTTCCCCTCATCTTTTTTCTTCTTGTTTTTTTTCTTTTATCCTTATATATATAAACATTATTTTTGTCCTTTTTATTTTATCATTTTTAGGTATATTCATCTCATTTTATATTATCTTTTTATATTAGCTTATTTTTTTATCTTTATTTTCTTTATTTTCTTTCTTTTCCTTTTGGTGGTGATATCATGTATCGATTCATGTTAGCCGACCCCAATATCTTTTGGGACTAAGGCTTGGATGTTGTTGTTGTATTGCCAAAACATGACAGTAATTACTATTTTTTAAAAAATAAAAGCATGGCAATCCCATTTTGGAATTCACAAACATTTTTTACTCATACTTAAGTCAATTTCTTATATAAATATCAATCCAAAACAACAAATTCAATAAACAAACTAACAATTATGTCAGAAAATAATGGAAATCGTGAGTTGAAACATGACATCGTGGAAATTGTTTATTCTAAAATTCTAAGTTTATAGATTAATGAATGTAAAAGAGTGTTGCTAATCGTAATATTTAAACATTATTTATACTTTGCATAATATATTAATTTAGTCCAAATTAAATTATATATACAATTATACTTCAAATCAAAAATTCAAATCATATGAAAAGTAAACTTCAGTATGAATAAAGGAAAAACGTGAATATAAATAATTAAAAAGTTGCACAAAAACAAAGTAAACATAGTAAAATTTGTGGGAATTAATTTCAAGCCTAATAAACATTTAACTAAAAACATGGAGATTAGAGGGATATTACCTGTGGCATGCCAAAAGGATTCTTTGGAACCCACTCAAAGTAATATACTTTGTATATAATTTGTCTCTCTCATTAAACTTGCTGACGCACACCGAGGGATAGGCGGACACGAGTAAGAACAACACAGAGAGAGGAGAAGGATAGGTGGATGGGCTTAGAGCTTACAAAAGAGCTAGTGAAAAAATACTTCGCAGAGAGACAGGAGGGAAAGGCAGACGCCAAATGCTAATTAGATGAAAAGGTAAGTATTTTGATCAACTATTGAACTAATTGTTGGGTTTGAATTTTGAAATACATATGGGGCCATCACTTTCATGTAATTGGGAAACTTAACATTGTGTAAGCCTACTTGCAATTTGTATCGTACCTCTTATATTGTACGCGTCAGCCCCAAAATGCGTAAGCCTTCTTATGGCGTAAAATAAGGTTCGCCTTTAATCGCAACATTCCTGGAAATTGAGGAGGCGCGCCGCAATTTCAAACACTGATTGCACCACACAACTATTGACCCTTTATCCTACAAATCACTTCCTCTGTCTCAAACTTAGGTTCACATTTGTTTTGGCACGCTTGCTAAGAAAGTGAAATTACAAGGTTGAAATTTATTTAGAAAGTGGAAAGTAAATGAACCACACATGACACAACTCTTTCTCATAAATGAATGAGAAAATAATTTTGAGACGGGTATAAAGGAATGTAGGAAGCTAGTTTGGGGGAAGCTGGAGTATCTTCTACTTTAAGTATTACTCAACCTTCCATTTTTTCAATCATTGGTTTAGCAAGCATATTGTGCCTTATTGTTGTTATTGTAATATAAGTACAAAAATGACACCTTATTCATTCTAGTCATTAGTTCTAGTCATTGATAGTAAAAGTAGTTATCCAACTAACTAATGAAAGGTTTCCTATAGAATAATAAAAGTATCTGAAATGTTTTTCATCATAGCTTCCTTTTACGTGATTTAGAACTAGTGAAAGATTCTTTTATCAAACTAATTATTCTTTATCCAACTAAAATCTCCTGACTGAGTTCTAACAACTGTACGGAATCCCAGTTTAACATACCCTGCCCTTCCACAAGAAGATAGAAAGTGAAAAAATTAACCAGGTGAAGCAAAAGGAACTGCACAACCAGCCGCTGTTGCTCCTCCGTACAACGACGCTGCAACCATCAATCGAAACGACGGGTGATAGATTCCGAGAGTGAGCTATGCGAGTCAATGAGGAGACACCAACCAAAACTCAGAATTTGGAACTTCGGATTCGGAATCTTATAAAGTTGATACGTCACGTCCTTTACTAGAACCTAACTCATGAGTGAAGGACCTCCGAGGGCCACATGTGTTCATTTAGGGCTTTTTTTGTGTGTGGTGTGTAAGGTTGAGGGTCGGGGAGGAGGATACTATAGAGATTAAATTATGTAGGGAAAAATTGCAATTTTGGTCCTTTGATTATTGAAATGTTAGATTCATTTTTCTGTGATTGTAACTATCATCCTCGAGTTGATAGATGTGTTCTAAATATATTCCTGGTGAATTAATTGGTAGCCCAGAATTGGAGATGATTATAATCAGCAGAGATGACATTTACAACACATTCATCAATTCGTAAATTATATCCTACACCCGGATGTACATCCGATTTTTTTGTAATTAGTGGGATGTTTGAGAATAATTAATAGGCTAAGATGCTGAGCTGTTCTTTTTTTCCGCGGCCACTGCACTCACGCACGTTCATCCGCTGCACTCACGTTTCATTCTTGTTTCTTTTCTTTCTTTTCGTTTCATTCTTCTTTTTTTGCTTCGTAATTCTTTCTTTGCTTCGTAATTCGTATGTTCTCCTTTTCTTTTCTTTTGTTTATTCTTTTTTTTCGCTTTCTTTGTTTGTTCTTCTATTTTTAGCAACCTTCTACTTTAATGTTATATTCAATTATTATAAAAATATATAATATAAAATATTATTAAATGTTTTAGTTTGTTTTTTAGATTCATGTAGAAGTTGATTATAGATATAGAGCACAGATCATGACACTTAGTTGCATGTTTTCAATACTCAATAGAGAAGGTTTGGTGTTGAATAAAAATGTCTTGAAGTTCAAACTTAAGAAATTATGATTTTATTTTGTAAGTTACATTTGTTCAATTTGCACTCATATTATGCCCATTTTTATAATGTCAACCAAATAAGTCTGATGCTCATCGAAGGTGTTTTAATGCTCATTAAAAGTTCATTAATGCTCATTTAACACAAACTGTGATTTACATCTCAATAGATGAGGTTTGATGCTCAATGAATATGTCATTATGTCAAACTAACAAACTTTGTGTTTTTCATATCAACGAACATTTTGTAAGTTACGTATGCTCACCTAGTACTGATTTTATGCTCACTTTCTAAATGTCATATCAATACATTTGCTTTAATGTACTATTTTACATGAGATTCACATATTGAAATTCATAGGAGTTGATTAGAAATATAATTTAATAAGTTTTTATAAAAGAAAAAACAATAAAAAGAAAGTGAATTAGAAGTTATGAAGCAGAGATCACAATTCCGAATTTGAGAAGCTATAAAAAGAATATGATTAATTTTGTAATTCAAGAATGACAAATTATAAATTATTTTTGAAACTAGAACATATTATATTTCTCTTTGTTACACAAATAAACATTTGAGCTTATTAGAAAATTTAAATGAGCTTTTGATTTTTTCAATGCTCATTTTATAACATATGTATACTCATTCAAGACTAGCGTTATGCTCATTTTAAAATGTCATTTCAATACTTATGAAACTAATGCTCAACAGAATAGTTATCATGGTCATTAAAAGTACATTAATGCTCATTTAACAGAAACTATTATTTTCATCTCAATAGAGAATGTTTGATGCTGAATGAAAACATCGTGATGTTCAACTAACAAACTGACTAACAAATTCATTAATTTTCATTTTGTAAGTTACATATGCACATTTGGTACTAGTATTATGCTCATTTTAAAACTTCAAAAGTATCATATTATATAAGATTTATGTAGAATTTGATTATAGATAATAGAGTACAGTCCATGATACTCAATTGCATATTTATAATAAAAGAGGTTTATTGCTCAATGAGAATACCTTGATGCTCAACTAAAAAAAACTATGATTTTCATATCAATGTTCATTTTTTAAGTTACGTATGCTCAATTGATACTCATTTAGGCTCATTTTCAAAATGTCATATGAATGCATGTTTCAAACAACTCTCCATTTGGATGAACAAGATTAATCATGGCCGGAGCGAAAATTCATCTTCTTTCTCTTCTCTTACTCTGTTCCACAATCAATGCATCTTACCCAAAACAAGGAAATGATCTAACAAATTCATTAATACTCATGTTGTAAGTTACATGATTTAGCAATGCACATTTCATTTGTATAGGTCTGATGCTCATTAATAATTCATGAATGCTCATATAATAGAAATCATGATTTTCATCAATCTCAATAGAGAAGTTTTGAAGCTGAATGAAAATGTTGTGATTTTCAACCAACAAAGCAACTAACAAATTCATTAATACTCATGTTGTAAGTTACATATGCTCATCTGATACTGAGCTTATGCTCATTTTCTAAATGTCATATCAATGCATTTTTATAAGTATTATTTTATGATAGACTCCTAATACTCAACATAATAGGTTTGATACTCATTAAAAGTTTATTATTACTCATTCACAAGAAACTATGATTTTCATCTCAATAGCAGATGTTTGATGCTCAATTAAAATGTTGACTCCTAATACTCAACAGAATAGGTCGGGTGCTCATTAAAAGTTTATAATTACTCATTCTCCAGAAGTTGTGATTTTCATCTTAATAGTGGAGGTTTGATGCTCAATTAAAATGTCATGATGTTCAACTAACAATCATTACGATTTTCATATCAATGTGCACTTTGTAAGTTATGTATGCTCATTTGATACTGATGTTATGCTCATTTTTAAAATGTCATATCAATGCATATTTCAAAAGTATCATATTACATTAGACTCGCATATTGAAATTAATAGGAGTGAATTTTAAATATAAATCAATAAGTTTTTATAGCAGAAAAAAAAGAATTGGAAGATATGAAGCAAAGATCGTGATACTCATTATTAACCTCATAATACTCAATACAATATGTGAGATGCTCAACAAAACTACATTATTGCTCATTTAGCATGATCCATGATTTTTCGCTTAAATTACAAAACTGTCACCGAAAAAAAAATAGGCCGTTTTTAATTGAATGGACTGTCTTTCTTAATTGGGCCTGTTTTGTGGGCCTTCCGTTGGATTCATTTAATTCTATTCAATCTGGGTTATCAAAATTGGGCTGAAGTTTAAAAAAATTAAAAAAAAAACGGATGTACGGTTCTCACCCGTACACCCGGGTGTACGATATACGTACTCTCATCAATTCGGGGTGACATTTACAATCTCAGAAATACGAGTCCGACATTTTAATATAGTGACTAATTGAGGGATCAAAAGTGTGATTTTCCTTTTATGAAATCTTGTGAAGTAGACTGGAAAAATAAAATAAAAAAGCAGAGGCGGCAAAAGAACCAAAAAAATCCTACAGGAGGACGGGATCACAATGATATTCCTGGTATCAAATAAGATGGCACTGATTTACACTTTAATATATCGATCTCTAACCGAACAGTTTCTTATAATTATTATTACTAATCTAGCAACTTGTGCGTTACAAGACACGATTCCAATAAAACTTGGGCAATTTTGCCTTTTTGCAAAAAGCTTTGTCATTTTTATTTAAAAATAATAAATACGTAGTATGGGGCTAAAGTCATTTCTCTTTCAATCGCACAGATTTTACTTTATTATTATTATTTTACTTTATTAATTCATTTGATAAATAATGATTTTTTGTATATAATCAAATTGAAATATATAAAATCTATAAAAATGAAATAATTCATAATCAACACTTAAGGTAAATATATGTGTAGTATTTATTTATTCTCCTCCTTTTTCTACTACTTGGCCTCTCAATGCCCTATTTTATACACACCCTGCTCTCATGTACAATACTTAAAATGATACTACCTCCGTCTCAATGAACTTTGCACTCTTTGAATTAGATGAGAAATAAGATTATTAAAAATTGGCTAAAGGGTCAAATAGGCCCTTGAACTGACTTAAAGTGTTCAATTAGCCCCTTATATAGAAGGTTCTGCCCGGCCGTCGTCAATTGGGGCGGTTCCCGGTGAAATTGTTTGATGAGATTTTTTGAGCATCGTCTTCATTAAGTCTAGTTTACCCATACCAAATTTCAGCTACAAATTCAACCGGGAAGGCAGTCAAATGATTTTCCGAAATGTACTGCGCTGTTTAACTTCACAGTTATCTTCAAAAAATTATTTGACTGCCTTCCCGATTGAAGTTTTAGCTGAAATTTGGTATGAGTAAACTAGACTTAATGAAGAAGATGCTCAAAACAATTCATAAAAAATTCCACCGAGAACCGCCCCAATTGGCAACGGCCGGGCAGAACCTCCTATATAAGGGGCTAATTGAACACTTTAGGTCAGTTCAGGGGCCTATTTGACCCTTTAGCCTTAAAAATTCAGTTGTTGACTTGTTGAGGTTTGTGCAGAGGAAAGAGAAATGAGCATAATCACAAATTAATTACTTTAATAAAAAGGTGAGAAAGCTTTTTAAGACATCCAAAAAGGTAAGTTGGCAAAGTCCAATAGGACGGAGGGGGTATATAGAAAGATATTTTATTTGAATTTATGTATTTGTGTGTAAAGATGATATCCCAACCATTCAAATTTATTAGGATTGATACAAATATATAGCAAACTATACATTCTCGAATTTGAAACAATGCATAAAAAATGATTAAGTTTTCATATAAATGTGTTTCATACCCGAATTTAAAACTATATTTTATTTGAATTTATGTATTTGTGTGTTTCATATATATCTATGTTTTTTATATTCCAAAATTTAATCTTTTGTAACTCATTCTTTATATTTTCCTGTTTTGATTAATCTCGTCTAATTAGCTATAAGGGATACAAAACTAACAATGTCGAGTCAATGCGCTTATCGCTACACTAAAAGCGATAATACCACTTATAGGATCGATTCGCCTCGTTTTACCATTTTCTCAGTGGATCACCCATTATTGAAATTTCTTGCCCCGGACTCGCAAAATATGTATTCTATAACTCGTAAAGGCGTATATTTTATAATTTTAAAAAGTACTTTTCAATGTCAGTTGTCGTGTAACCCTTATCAAAGGGTGGAAACTAAAATTATTCCTGCAGCGGTACAACCAAATAAACCCTCCCAGACGACAATTGAACGACGCAAGAGACCTTCACAAAAATTGGACCTTATTAAATGTGTCGGACTTTTAACATGTGCCGCAACAATATCGGCCTATAACCGTTATTAAAAGCCCAATTCAACCATTATTAAAAAAACTTCCATAACGGTTCCCGGACCCATATTAAAAGTACCGGAATCTTTGATGGATTTTCACTAAGTTATTTAGTCCAATACACTTGAAATGTTCTCCATCGATCATCGATCATCTTCGCATTCCATCGTAATTGGTTGAGGTTTAGCATACAAAGTAGAATGAAGTTGTAACACCGCATGTATTACAGTAGAAAAACATTTGCTTACTGTTCTCCCGGATCTTTGAAAGTCAGTTATTAAGGTTCTATTTTTGTGATGATGGGATAATACAAGTAGAAATATAGCTACTTGTTCTTCTACTATCACACAACTTGAAAAAAGCAGCACGACTCATTCTTAATTGGGAAATGCAATTTGCTTCAGGTCCGTGTACTAATCTTTTAAAATATCCTTCCCTTTTGGAATGATTGTCTATTATATATCGCATACCTCGTGTTCGTCTTCGCCTTGTGGATAATGAAACAAACATCCAAAATATGATTGTCATAAACCATGTTTGAGCATTCAGCCACCACTTCAATGAATTTCTCCTTTTGACACGCTTTGAATTTAAAACACTTTGCCCTAATACATGGTTGTTTGATGTTTGACTTTCATCCATTCTATAAATATTAAAAAAAAAACAGAAATGAGATTGTAATGAATTGAAAAGGACAAAAGGCATTAAAAATTTGATATATACGTAAGAACAAATATGGGAAAAAACAAATGGCACCACATATTGAAATTACACACCACAAGCACCTAAGGAGACAAATCAACTCATTTAAAGGAATCATTGGCCACATTCGAATCTCTGCACTTTGCTCCTACATATATCTATAAATCTACATATAGCTAATTTATATATGTGTGTGAGAGTGAGAGAGGGAGAGATTTCGAACAGGGAGATAGAGGTTCCTTGTTCAATCGGGCTGAAAAATGGAAGAAGAAAGTAATACCTGGAGGGCTAGAGATGGTCAACACGTCCAACTTGCTTCTTCGATGGAGATGGCGGCGGCTTCTTCTATGGAGATGGCAGTTGCTTCTTCGATGGAGATGGGAGCGATGGTTTGTCTCTCACAGCTAAAGCAGTAGAAATGAAATGAGGGAGTAGGTTTTAAAGGTTAGTTATGTCATTTTAAATATAAGATGTCTTTTAAGACTGGTGAAGTAAACATGATTTTTGTTATTAAAACCCAGGCTTAGTAAACATTTCTAAAGTAACCGACGCTTAGTAAGAAACGGCTAAATAGACATCGTTTATTAAACAAGCAAGTAAACGTACAATCTAGCATTGATCACGGGCCTAGATAGTTAGGTTTTCACAAGGAGTACAACACCACTCCAAATTACTCTATTCATTAGGTTTTTCACTAATGAAACGAGCTGAATCAAAAGTTATTCAGTCCTATTCTACCTAATCTCTGGATTCACAAATCCTTTCAAAGATTTTACAACTTTTTGATTAAAAAAAATAATCTAACCTCCCAACTATGCTAAGCATTAATGATATAACTTTGAATGAACTAGTCTAAGAGCTTAGAGAAGTGTGAGTGACCTTCCAAATTACTCTATTCATTAGGTTTTTCACTAATGAAACGAGCTGAATCAAAAGTTATTCAGTCCTATTCTACCTAATCTCTGGATTCACAAATCCTTTCAAAGATTTTACAACTTTTTGATTAAAAAAATAATCTAACCTCCCAACTATGCCAAGCATTAATGATATAACTTTGAATGAACTAGTCTAAGAGCTTAGAGAAGTGTGAGTGAGCTTAGAGTGAAGTGATAAATTAACACTTTCTCTATGTTGGATGTTCGTATAAACTTGTGTTGTATGATATAGCTCTCTACTTCTTCCGCTTCACACTTCTGTATTTATAGACCATTTGGTGTTGAATGTCTCTCGTTGGTTGAAGAGACTCAATCTTCTCCGTTGATTGATTCACTTGGTTGACTATTGATGAGTATGGATTATTTTTGTCTCCACACGGCATGTTTGCGCTTCTTTTTGTATTTATACTACCTCTTCATTGTTTTAAGTATTTTGAGGAGTATGGGCAATATATACGAAATCCTTTTCCGTATTTTCATTTTGATTTCCGGACAATCCTTTCATTCGCTCATTACTACTTCTACCGTTTGAGTGTCCCATACAAATAATTTGACTATCTTTTCTTCGAGATAATTCCGAAGACCTTCAAAAGAGAATAAGTAAAGGTCATATACTTGTTTGGAGAAAATTATCCAACATAGGACTAAAACTCAACCTTTTTCTCAAAATAGGACCACATGCATGTTTTTCTCTAAATAGGACTAACCTTACCTTTTTTTACCCCTAATTCTATTTAATTAATTAATTGATCTAAATAATTGCCCCCCCCTAATTTCCTTGCACAATCAAGGCAATCCGTCGGTGGCGGGGCAGTCCGTGGTGGCGGCAGCACTCCGGCAGCGGCCGGCGGCGGATTCCGGCGGCGGCAACTCCGGCAATTAATTAACCCAATTAATTGCCCCCCCTAGTTCTCTTGCACAACCAAGGCAGTCCATTGGTAGCGGGGCAGTCCGGAGGTGGCGGCAGCGGAAGAGGTGGTTTCCGGCGGCGGCGGCGTCCGGCGGCAGGTGGCGGCAGAATGTTGGCAAACCTCCAGAAAAAAAATATGGAATTTTTCCGGCGGCGGTCGCCGGAGCTTTGGCGGCGGCGGCCGGCGGTAGGCGGCGGCGGCCGGCGGTAGGTGGCGGCCGGCGGTAGGCGGCGGTAGGCGGCGGCCGGCGGTAGGCGGCGGTAGGCGGTAGGCGGCGGTAGGCGGTAGGCGGCGGTAGGCGGTAGGCGGCGGCGGTAGGCGGTAGGCGGCGGCCGGCGGTAGGCGGCGGTCCGGCAGTCCCGGGCAACAGTGGTAAAGGTTGTGAGGGTATTTTGGTCCAATCACTAATAAAAAGTCCTATTTAAGGATGTTTAAACTAAGTACTCCTATTTTGAGAAAAAAGCCATGTTTTGATCCTATTAAGGTAAATTTCCCACTTGTTTGCAATATGTAACCAATAGTTACCTGGTCTTAGTTTTCATTTTTTCATTCTTCAGAATTATTGTGGATCCCATCAATTTACTTGTGGTTTTGACTCTGCTGCTAGAGACGAATTTGTAGAGAAATTTCTCGTGGTTAACTTTGGGTTGGTGAGCAAGGTTTGGTGTTGAGTTTCGGGAGCTTGCTGACAAAAGAATAGTTACTTTGTTTAAGAGTATCACAACAGCCAGCTACTGGCCATCCCAACAACAGGCCGTTGTTGATATTTTCACAAGAATCCAGTTAACTCTTTTTGTAGCTTTCCTTTCTTTTCTTTTGGTATGTCTTTTTTGTACTATTCTTCTTGTTTTTCTTTTTGTATGAGTACTTTTCTCTTTAGGGAATTAAAGCAGCAAAAATTACAAAGTACATAAACCAAACTTCTAGTCTATTACAGGTACATCATCAAAATCTAGAGGGATCTAATAGAAGTCTTATCACTAAAATTCATAATTCACTAACTGCCTTGGAAGGTTATATCTCATTGATTCCTAAAGAGCTAAATATGGTTACATATAGCATATCTCAGATAGAGGTCACCTCGGTTGCTCCTCTTCTTTTTACTAGGGCATGAGACCTTCCTAAGAATGTCCGGGGAGTTTTGGAGTTGGAAGTTAGAACATCACTCAATTCCATATATTTCTCAAGTTAATACATTTCGTTTTTTATTATATTGTTGTTTTGTCTTTAATGTTCAGACCTTTCCCATTTACGGTTGCAGGTTCTTTTAGGACATGTGTTTCTTTGTATGTTCATGGAGGTATGTCTCCGATAAAGAGGTTTTGGCTTGATGTCCCGTCTTTTGGTTTAATATTTTAAGCTTTTATTAATAAATTTCGGTAGATGTTCCTCGACATATACCCCACTCATTTTGGTGGTTTGACAACCGGATTAAAAAAACATAGTCATGTATATGCTTGTGGTAGTTGAAGCTTAGAGGAGATATTCACACGCACTATACTACGTACGTATCTAATATACTAGTTTTACTACACACGCGTTGCGCGATTAAATAAAATGCCCAATGGATTTTTATTGAATAAAATGTATATTATATGTTGATGTAGTGAGTACTTTTAGTATTTGACATGTTAACATTTGTGTCAACTTAAAAATAAAGTATTTAATATTACTTCATTATGAAAGATGACCCAAAAGTAAAATAAAAAATGCAAATTCGTATAAGGGCTAGAACCCAGTTTTCTAATTTCATAAGAAAAGGCATCACTAACACAAAAATAAATATGTAATACATATCTTAATATTAATATTGATGGTTCACATTTGATCAAATATGGGACCATCACATGATGTACGAAATATGAAATAAAAGCTACAATAAATAAAGGTGGTCTAATAAATAAAGGTGAAGAGAAATATAAGGTTCACTAATATAGACAATAAACATTTATATTGTTCAAGAGAAAGTAAGAGTTTATTAAGTATTGCCTCCTAAATTCGATATCTTTGCTTCTATTCAACCAAGTGAACCAACTTCACACGTCACCATGAATTTTTGAATTTGAGATTGATCAAGATCACTAACCTATTATGTAATAATCATTTGTAGCCACACTTTAAATATGCATTGACGCATTGTATTATTTCATGTGGCGAGTTGTCTGGCCACCACAACGTAAAATAAAGATTTAGTAACTTTCAAATAAATGCATATTTATAGCTTAAGCACAAGAGTACAAATAAAAAAGAATAATTCTTTTCGATCTAAAGACCTAATTTAGTGATTCACAACCAACATGATAAAAGGTGGATTGAATATAGTCTGTCCAATCCATGAGAAAAAGCACTAAAGAAATTTAATAAGTTGGATTGTGTTTTAGTCTATCCAATCCATAGAAAGTTGTGATTATAAAATAAGTTGTTTGATCTGTGTATACTACATCATTTGACGGAGATAATTTGATAGAGAAACAAAAACTGTTTCTGGAAAATGTCCACGAATTCCGAACTAGAAGTTGATATCCAGTGCTAAGAGGAAAGTTCTCAAAAGAATGTCAATGGAGCCAAGAATCTTATCAAATATAAGAAGCTATATTTGACCAATAAATCAGTTAACCAAGCATTCCAGCCCAGCTGGTTGCGAGGTTACTGTGCCTAGTGAGAGGTCTCGAGTTCGAATCCCGCTAGGCACATAAGGGTTTGAAACCCAATGGAGTGAGTTTCAGCCCTGATTACTCCAGGCTCCCCCCAGCCCCCCTCCCCCAGACCCCCCTCCCCCAGCCCCCCCCCCCCCCCCCCATGGAGTAAAAAAAAAAAAAGAACGCAAACCAAAATACACACAATAACCAAGATAAAATAATTAGCATGTGATCTTTTCTACCTCACGATATCATGAAGTCGTGTTTGGTATTAGATTAAGCATTCAGATACCGAACACCTTTGGAAAACATCTTAAGACCATGATGTGTATGTGTACACAAAAAAAATGGTATTTAAAATCAATCTCCCTGGGATTTTCCATTTTTAACAGAAGCCTATTGCTTAAAAAACTGAAAAATGAAAGTAAAGGAAAATGCCAAAAAAAAAATAGAAATGAGACAAATTCAACTGTCAAGAACTGTAAAGCCTAATAATAAGAGTAAATTGAAGCAATTAATAATTGTAACTAAGCTAATCACAAGAAGTCAAATGAGCTACACTCAACATAGTACATAAGATGGAGTTAGAGAGCGTTTGCAAAAGATTCAAAAAGTACCTTTCATTTTTTTCCCTAAAAAGTTGAATTTCACTTTTTTCTCAAAAAACTGAAATTGATGTTTTCAAGTGATAACTCTGCTTAACATATACTACGTACTATGTATACTCAAAAAACAAGAGTTGGAAGTAAGGGATAACTACTCTAAACGGGTTTCACTTTTTTTTATTACAAAAAGTGTTTCTTTAAAAAAAATGTTACCTTGAATGGGTACGCGGGGTGGGGGTTGGGTGGGTAGGGTAGGGGTAAGGGGTAAGGTA